GCCTGGTCATGTGCCTGCCTTCCCCCTGGGGAGTCCCCTTAACTCCGCACCCCAGCCCTGCCCACAGGTCAAAAACAGCAGAAAGCAGAACCACTGCCAAGGTCGTCACGTGTTCTGGGCCTCTCCCAGAGGCTGGGAGGCCCGGAGGTAACTCAGACGCCCCCCGAGTCCCTTGCAGCCGAGGCCGGGAAGGCAACGGCCTGGGGAAGCGGAGCCTTTGCTGAAATCAAGGACCGCAGAGCGCAGGTGAACCAAGTAGAAACTTGCCCAACACCGAGTTCAGCCGAGCAGGACGCGCCCCTCCCCGGGGACCAAGGTGAGGACAAGAGACGCAAGACCGGTCGGAGGCTCCGCTGGCTGCTTTTCCCCCGCGGCGCGGTCGGGCGGCGGCGGCGAAGCGCGTGGCGAGGCGGGCGCGTGGCGAGGCGGGCGCGTGGCGAGGCGGGCGCGCCACCTGCCGGCCCCCGGAGCACGCGCCCCACACGGTCGGGGACCGCCACCTGCTGGCCACTCGGAAGAGCGCAGCCCGGCCGCGCGGCCCCCGCAGGACTCAGTCCAGGTGTGGGGAGGCGGAGCCAGGCAGGAAGCAGCTCACCTGCGCTCTTCCTCTTGTGGGAACGGTTTAGTCTGCAGGCGGCATGGCGGCCCAGAGGTCCTGACCCTTTCCAGCGCTTTCTTCCTACTGTCCTGGCGAGACCCTGTCCTCTGTGCTCCCTATGCAGGGCCCTGTGAGCCCAGTCCTTGCAAGGCGTGGTTTTCAGATTTGAGAACTCAGCGCTTTGAATCTAACACCATCTGTAGGACTTGGTGCAAATGCACAGCTTTGCCTGGACAGTTTGGGGTGGAAGTTGCAAGCGTGCATGCGTTTCTGGCAAGTTCCAGGGGACACCAGTGCTTCTTGTCCACTGAGGGTCAGGCTAGACCTGGCAGTGACTGGCCCCATGACTTACCTCCAGTAGTGAAGCCCTGGGTCTTGGTTCACTCACCTGTGAAATGGGGAAAACTGGGCATAACTGTCGGTTCACAGAGCGTGGGGTGAGAGGGTGTATGTTAAGGCCTCAGATGGGAGGCTTGGCATGAGCAGGTGTGCCACCAGGGCTGGCAACTGTCCTTGGCACCTGTGTGCACCTGAGGTCCTCCTCGAGTTCTCACGTAGGTGGCAGATAGAGTTGGGAGGGTTCCTGTCTCTGGGTTTTTTTTCTGCCAGCAGGCCCCCTAAACCACCGAGGGGATGGGACTACAGGTTCTTCATCCAGAAGAACCACCGGAGACGGAATGAGCATGTCCATTTATTGTAATGCAGGCACAAGCTTATATAGACTAAGAAAGGGGACGGCAGCAGGCATTGCCCCCACAGTCTTCCCACCCAACTGTCATTGGCTAGAATGACGTCTATCCCTTTAGGCCTTCCAATCATGTCACAGGTCACGTAGACTGGCAGGGAGGCTGTGGGTCACGTGCCCCCCAGAGAGCAGGCAGAGATCCCGGGGTGATCTCCCACATTCCAGGAGCAAGAACAATCCTGGGCAAGACCATGATGGTTTTATTCAAGCAGCTCAGCATCATGATCTGGTTACAAGCAGGGCAGGTGGGTGCATTTAGAGGAATCAGGGACACCACCTGGCACAGGTAGGAGGGGCTGAACCCGGAGGTCGGGGCCTCATCGTGGAAGAAGGCACTTTAGGTCCAGCAAGCACTTTTGTCCTGCTTCTCCACTCAGCCCTTATGCAGGTCACTTGGGACCCTTCAAACATCCCAGGGCCCAGGCAACACGCCCCAGACCAATGGCATCTGTGTCTTGGGGTGCTGTGGGCCCCAACAATTAGAACCCTGGTTCCCAATACTGTGGGGGTTGGGGACTGAGGCCTTGGGGAGGTGACTAGGTTGAGAGGCGGTCCCGAGGGTCCCTAGGATGAGATGGATGTTGTTGGTGTGAGAGGCAGTAGCCTGGGGTCTGTGCATGTGGAGTGCACGCAACAGGAGGCCCCCCAGTTCTAAGGGCTCAGCCTCGCAGGCAGCAGAAGTGCAGGTACACACGGTGGTCACCTTCCCAAGAGCCAAGGAAGCCAGGAACTCGGTGCCTTGTCTCAGCATTGCATGGAAAAAGGAAGATGAGCGTGTCACCCCTCTTCCAGCTCCACAAAACCCCTCTGGCCCCGGAGCCATCCTCGGGGAGTGAGCATCTGGTGCTCACAGCCTCCGGTGGCTTTGGCCATCCTTCCCCCAACTACTCACAGAAAGCAAAAGCAAGCCTTGCAGGGAGCCGAGGAGGGCTGCAAGGAGACCTGGCTCCTGGTGAAGCCTGCGCTCCCAGCAGGTGCACACGGATGGAACCTTTAGGAGGACACCTGTGCTCCCATGCGTCAGATCCATTTGGGCTTCATGGGGCCCAGAATAATCAACTTGGAGTCAGCTTGTGTGGCCCTCACACCCTGCTCCAACCTCAGACAGACAGCAGCCCCAGGAGCACTCAGGGCTGGGTTGGTGAAGCCTCATGCTGGGCAGATCCTGAGTGCATCCACCTGTTGATCGGTGCCTGTAGGTGGGTGGAGTCTGCACCTGCCTGTGTCAGCTGCAGGCACATCCCTATGAGACACACGTGTGTCGGCGTGTATCCCCTCCCCGAGTAGCCTCCTCAGGCCTGCTGTCCACTCCCAAGGTTGCTCTTGGCTCAGTGACTGTGAGATGCAGGTGGGACCCCCTAAGGCCTGCCCATGTCCTCCAGTCTCGGTTGGGCATCAGGAATCAAAGCAATGTTCAGAGAATCAAGCCCGAGCTGACCACACCAGGCAATGTCCAGATGCTAACAGTAATAACAAACCTCTGACCCTGTTGCAGTGTCCAGTAGAGTCCTGTGGCCCTGGCATGCCCCAGCCAGTGTCCCAGTGGCTGGCAGGAACAGAATCAGGCAGTGAGACCCCCTCAGCTGCAGACACAGCTCCGCGGTTGTCTTCAATCCCACATCCCAGGTACACCGGTCTTGGTGGACCACAGGACCTGGCTGTGTCCCAGCACCATGGCATTGGAGCAGACACGACCAAGAGCCTGAGCCTGCTGCAGGCCCCAGAAGGGGCTTGCAGGGCTGACCATTGCTTCCCAGGGAGGGCTCCGGTTCCTCCTGAACAATGTGTCAGCTATAGGATTGGGACAAAGTTGAGTGTGAAGATATTGCTTGAGATGCCACCTGTTAGGGCTCTGAGTCTTTGTGGCATCTTTCTCACCTTTCTTGAGCTCCACTGCCTGGTCCTCAAGACTTGAAGGGGAAGAAGGCCTAATATTTGTGGGGGAAAAACTAGAAAGGAAGACCCTAGAACCCTCCCAGAGATAGGTCAGGGTGATGGCCAGGACCTAAGACAGAATGGAGGAGACTTCAGGCTAGGTGTTCCCCCTTCTTTTTATAGGGTTCCACCTCTCCGGTCCCAGGGCCTCTTCTGCATTTCTGCTACACTTGCAGCAATGTTGACCATTGCTGGAACTGACTCATTTCCCTGATCACAAGACATTGGTGGATTTTACAAGATGTTCTCCATGACACTAGTCCCAGATGTTTGCAAAAATTCATGAGGGAGCCAGTAAGATGGGTGCTGATCTGCATGTATGCCCACCCATTTCCACAGGGATTTGCTGACATTCTCTCTCAGGCTGGGGTTCCCACCAATGACCCCCGAGGTGAGTGGGCACATGGGGAGGTGGTCTTGGGAAGCCCCGAGAAGTGAGGATATGGAGGAAGCTGAGCCGGGGAGTACCAGTGAGGCCCCTGGAGTTGGCTATGCCCCACACTCAGTCCCTGGGAAGCAAGGGAAGGAGGGTGCCATGTCTTCACTGTAGCCAGAGGCAACTTTCCCAGATACCAGCTCCTGGGCACTCCATCCTGCCCTGTTGTACCCATGGTGTGAAGCAGTCTTCAGGCAGAGAGTGCTGGGGTGCCAGGCTGTGTGGGTGTGACTCTGACCAGCCCACCCACAGGTCCACCCAACCACATGTGAGCAGTTCAGCTGCACATTCACCCAGTGCATGCATACATTTGCAGGAACCGGCCGCTCATCCAGACATCAGTATTGCACGTGCTGACTTGTGCAGGTGCACTAGCCACAGGTCACTGAAGGAGAGAAGTCATCTTCAGAGACTCATACCAGTAAGTACCCAGGTGGCTGTGAACTCAGTGGTGATTCCACTCATGGTGTCCATGCCCCCCCAGAGCCTGGGACCGGTGTCACGGGCATTCACGCTGCCATTGAGTGACGGGGGCAGCTTGGGGAGAGTGCTTGCAGCTGAAAGGACAAATCGCAAGAGCCAAGGTGATTTTTTTTTTTTTCTTCTCATGTCACAAGAAAACCTGTGGCACTCAGCAGACAGGTTTGGATTTGGTGGGGCTGTTTTTAAAATGTAGTCAGCAGGAGCCAGGAGCCAGGAGCCAGCACTGTGGCTACTCGGGCTAAATCTCTACCTGTGGCTCCTGCAAGTCATATGGGTGCGGGTTCAAGTTCTGGCTGCTTTGCTTTTGTTCCAGTTCCCTATTGTTGGCCTGGGAAACCAAGAGAGGATGGTCCAGGTCCTGGGGACCCCGCACTCCCATGGAAGAGCTGGAGGGGACCCCTGGCTTTGGACTGGCCCCCAGCTCCAGCTGTTACAGCCATTTGGAGAATGAACCAGCAGAGGGAAGACTGCCCTCTCTTTCTCCTTCTCACTCTGCAACTCTGCCTTTCAAATAAAAATAAATAAGTCTTTTTAAAAAAGAAAATTGCATTCATGGGAACGAGTTAGGCCCCAGAGGATGGTGAGGGTTTTTGGTTTTGTTTTGTTATTTGCTTCCCCACCCCCACCCCACCAACGTCCTGGTGGGAAGGCAGGATGCTGTACTGGCCAGTTCACTGCAGGGACCAACGACCAGATGGGTTTGTCTCTGCATCTCAAATTCTCTGACTATGCCACCCCAAAAGACAGGGCCTGACCACCAGCTCAGCCCACGTCTTTCACGAAACAGGTGCTGGCAGGTCACCTCACTGCTTAACGAATTGGTGAGGCTTTCCCGTGGCCAAGCAGAGCAGGAGATTTCTGTAGACGCGCAGGAGTCTGTTCTGGACCAGCTTGAAGGCTATGCACAGGATCTCCATGCCCACCAGGATGTAGAGGGAGAAGAACAGGAAGAAGTGCGGGTGCTCCAGGTCGGTGTCGGCAAAGCCGATGGTGGTCAGGGTGACGAAGCAGAAGTAGAAGGCGTCCTCGAAGTCCAGCTGCGTCTCCCAGAAGGGAAGGACAGCCGCCGCACAGGAGATGTAGGCTAACACCACCAGGGCGACCACGGGCAGGGGCACGTCCAAGGCCTCCACCTGCCGCCCCACCTCGTCCAGGTTGCTGATAATGGAGTAGGAGAGCTGCCCCCCAGCCAGCTCCGGGCAGGAGCTGCTCCTCTCCAAGGTCCGTGGCGACAGCTGCAGGGTGTTCTTGGGGGACAGAAGTCTCTCCAGCAGCTCCGTGCTGAAACCCGGAGCCGAGGAACAGCGGCCAGGTCTGGGACCCGGGAGCTCCTGGTCCTCGGTACTGATAACGATCTGTGGGACTGTGCTGTGATCTTGCCTGGGGGGCGTCGCGTCTGGCTGCTGCCCTTTCCAGCACAGCCACGTGGAGGGGTGGCAAGTGAAGAGAGGTAGTTTGCGGAACCGATTGTAAGAGGCCGAGAACACAGTCGCCAGGACGTCGCCTATGTCCGTGAGGACCAGGAACATCAATGGGATGCCAAAAAGGGCGTAGAGCATACACAGGTACTTGCCCAGCCTGGTGGCCGGGAAGATTCGGCTGTACCCTGAAACAGGACAGGGGCCGGGGGTCATGGTCTGCTCCCTCCTCCCCATGCCGCCTACATCCCACCAAAGGAATCTTGAACAATGGGCCTCCATGTCCCCACTGTGGCGTACCATTTCACACATGGCTTGGAAAAGTGCCATCCTGTGCCCGGTGCTGGGCCAGCTGTGGTGGGAGCAGCAACTTCTCTTTGGAACAGGGAGTAATTCCTGGGCAGATCTTTGCCCTGTACCTTGGAGCAAAGCTGGGATTGCAGCCTGGGCACTCCTGTGTGGGACATGGCATCTCCCTTGCTATGCCAAATGCCTGTCCCACTTGTGGGTTTTTAATCTGTGAGATAAGAATGCCAGTCCTCACTTACATGCATGCCAGCAGGAGGCCGCCTGGCACACAGCGAGACTGGCGCAGAGGCTCTGACACTCCTCCGGGGGGGATGCAATGGGGGCTTTGGCTAGCGTGGGAACTGGGAGGAGGGCGAGGGCTTGCCATGCTTCCGGTGGGACAGAAATCTTGGCAAGATGGGGTAGAAGAATGCTTCGGCTTTGGGGAATCAAGAAGAAACTTGGAGTGGAACAGAAAGCAGGCCTCCCTGAATCCTCAACCACAGAGCGATTCTCTAAGGACTCCTCACTAAATCCAGAACCATCCCAGAAGACAGGCAACGAGTGTGGGGTGGTGGCTAAGAACAGGTGTTCTACAGTCAGCTCCTGTGTGCCCTGTGTGACTTGGGGCCATGGGCTTTGTCACAGGTGCCTCAGTTTCCCCATGCACACCAGGCTGAGTAATGCCAGTGCTGAAGCAGTGGGTGGAGGACCACGCCTTTAGAATAGCATCTCAGTAAGAGCCCTACCTGCTGATGTCCTCAAGGCCCCAGACAGGCGACCTGGCCTCTGTGTGCCTCTCCTGCAGAGGGAGAGGTGGGGCCGGAATGTCAGTGCGGTCATGGGTCTGAGCCCTGGGCCATGTGATAGAATGGCTAGAGTGGAAATTGCCCAGCTGTGGCTCTGGCTGGTACACGGAGCATCTGTCACACCTGGGAGCAGCTCTGGACTCCTGGGGAATGGGGAGTAAGCCACAATCGATGCCCAGCTCCATGCCCACAGCAGTGATGACCACCGCGCTGTGCTCTTTGTGCACGCGATAGTTCATCCTCTTTCTTATCAAATAATCGCTTCCCACCAGACCTGATTAGACCCTCCCGAGCCTCTCATCTCCCACAGGATGGAAACCCCCATGCCTGTGAGAGCCAGCTTCCAGTCCCACCCGCGGCAGCCACACCCACCTGCTTCCTGTTCCAAGCTGGCACCTGCCTCAGGCCCCTTGCACTGTCTCTCCACTCTGCCTGCAAGGTTTGCATTTTGCGTAGCCATGTGGCAGCTCTTTCCATTTTGTGTGTGGACAGCATCCTCTCAGGGGAGTTCCTGATCCCTCATCCGAACGCTTCCTCCCTTCCTGCCATCCCTAACACCCACAGCCGTCTGACCAACTCTGAACGTTTGTGCACTCTCAGCCTCACCACCATGGAGATCTCGGTCTGTTTTGTTCCTGGGCCCTACAAGTGCCTCATTTAGTGCCTGTGTGAACAAATAAATAGAGGTTGCATTAATATATGCAACTACTGACTTCCTACTGAATGCCAGACGTGTGTGGGTGGGGCTGGAGGCTCCAGGGAGGAAGGGGCAGAAGTCACACCCTGTAGAGGGCGCCGGCAGCCACTCCTAGGGTAACAGGAGCCCAGAGAAGCATCAGGGGCAGCTTTGGCATGGGCCCTGCAAGGCTGCCAGCCCTCAGATGTTGCTGCTGCCAGGAGGAGCCCCGGCAGCGTCCTGATCTGTGTCCCCACAGGGAAGTCAGGAAAGTTCCTCCCCCACCAGAATAAAGGACCAACCCCTCCCTCCCCAAACATTATGCTATCCTTCAGGCCAATGGTCCCTCTTGGGCTTATTTCATTTTTTAAATGTTTATTTATTCTTATTTAAAACACAAATTTACAGAGGCCAGAGATCTTTCATCTGCTCGTTCACTCCTCAAAAGGCTACAACAGCTGGAGCTGAGCTAATGCAAAACCAGGAGCCAGGAGCTTCTTTCTGGGTCTTCCAAGTGGGTACAGGGGCCCAAAGACCTGAGCCATCCTCTGCTGTTTTCTTAGGCCATAAGCAGGGAGCTGGATGGGAAGTGGAGCAGCTGGGACACGAACCAGTAGCCATATAGGATGCTGACACCACAAGCAGAGGATTAGCCTGTTGTGCCACCTCAGCAGCCCCTGGGTTTTATTTTGAATAAGAGACAGGCTGGTGGTAAGTGGATGAGGTTACCACTTAGGACACCTGCAGGATTGATTAAGTCCTGTCTCCCCCTCTGATTCACTTGGCAGCACATCATAGCCTAAAACTTGGGTTCCTGCCACCCATGTGGGAGACCCAGGTACAGTTCTTGGCTCCTGGCTTTGACCTGGCCCACCTCTACTCTTGTGGGCATCTGGGGAGTGAAACAGCAGACGGAAGATCTCTGTTATTCTGCATTATAAGTAAAAAAAGATTTTTTTCTTTAAAGAATATAACACTTTTCGCCAGAATCTATACAGTATTGTAAAGTCAAAACTCCTAATGTTGCCCACATTTGATGCACAATGAACAGAGGGGTTGGTGAAGAGCTCAGGGCCACACAGCCCACAGGAACCTATATTCCTACCCTGAAGACCTTCCCCACCGACATGACAAGCCCCGGGCTCTCCTTGGCAGAGGCGGGTTAGTGACTTAGAGACGTGCCTGGGGGAGCTGTGGCTTCAGATGAAAGACAGACCTGCCCACACACGGAAGCAAGTCTCTGCACACAACCCCTGTGCCAGGAAGGACCTACCCAGCCCAGTTCTGAAAATGTGCACAGTGGAAAAAATCTTATCATTTGCTCCTAATGCATCCACACATGGCAACCCAACCAGCTTGCATGCGGCCAGCAAGTATTTCATAATGCATGCACTTCTAGCGTAAAGGGAACGCTGGGAGTGTCTGGGGGTGGAGGCTGTTGATGGGCTTCATACACAGGTCAGGCATCCCTTGGTTAGGACCAAGGCCAAGTACATTCCCAGTGATGGGAGATGCAAGCAGGAAGTGCTACCACCAGAGGGACCTCCACACGGTGAACATTCCCCCACATCATCTTCCAGCTCCAATTACCCAGTGGCCTGAGATCTTAATCGCCCGGTACTGTGGGTGGTGTAGCATAACCTCCTTATGAGTTTAGTCAGCTAATGTATCTCCATTATTACAGCAGCGCCTTGCTGGCTGGACAGCCATTAGCATCACCTGGAGGAGGCCTGAGATCATGGACGCCTGGGCCTGGGCCTGGCGCCTGGAGATTGGCTCCATCGGCCCGGGGCAGGACCCAGGCACGGAAACAAAGGCATCCAGGTGAGTCCACCGGGCAGCAGCCACTGACTCCCTGTGCCTTGGGCTGGTGCTTTGCACATGTTAGGGTGTATGAGAATCACGGGGAGAACTTGTGAAGGCTACTGGTCCCTCTGCCACCATTCCTAGCTGGGGCCTGAGAATGTACTTGCACTGTGACAAGGTCCCCCGCAGTGCTGTTGCACAGTGGGGGTGACACTGAATCTGGAGGTGCTCTGGTACAGAAAGTGGCCTGAATCTGTGAATGCAGGCCAGCTCACGGCTCAGCATCTCACAGCGGGGGTGAGTGTTTGACTCAGCACCCAAGATGCCCTCATCTCGCATCGGAGCGCCTGGCCTTGAACCCCACTCTGGTTCCTGACCCTAGTGCTTCCTGCTGATGCCGCCCGGGAGCAGCCATGATGGATTAAGTACAGGGGTCTCCACCACCCCCACGGGAGGCCTGGAGTGAGCCCTCAGCTGTCAGTTGCAGCCCAGTCCCACTCCCAGCTGTTGCAAGAATCAGAGTGAACCACCACATGGGATTCTCTTCCTTTCTGACTCCCTCTGTTTTTTATATCACAATGGACAGGCTAAGCCTTCCCACACCAAGGAATTATCCAATCAAAGATGCTACAGCATTGAGGCTGAGAAATCTGGTTTGGCTGTCCCTGGAGGTTCAGCAGCAGGGCCTCAGCCCTGCCTCTGCCTCGATGCCTGTTAGTTCTCTCCCAGCACCTGAGCCCCCAGGGCCGTGAGAATTAAGTAAGACCAGGGCCAGTACAGTGGGCACCAAGCTTCAAATCAGCTCAGCTCTGGCCATTACTCTCTGTTTGGAGAGTAAACCAATAGATGGAAGACACCTCTCTCTCTTTAAAAACAAAATAAGAGCAAGTCCCTAAGGCACCTTGCCCTGTGGGGGCACCTGCTGGGCCATGTAGGCCTCTCCCTTATCCTTTCTGCCTGACACCTGCTGCCTGCATCTGCATCCCCCCAAAAGGAGAAACCATAGGATGCTGGGGGGCTCATACGTCATTCAACCCCCTTGCTGGGCCCTGGCTTGGGTGTGGGTAGGAGGCACGGGGGGCTTCTGGGAAGACGGCCCTGCTGATTGACAGCTGTGGAAGGAATATGCACCCTACCTCTGTCAGATGTGACTGAGGTGGGCAGAGCCTCGGGTCCTCTGGCAACTCTCTAATTCACAGGACAGAAGCAGCACACATGCAGTGCCACAGCCGAGCTGCCCGTCAGCCCCACGGCTGTCATCCCTCCAGAATCCTCCTTTCCTTGGCCATGTGTTTTCCTGAACTTGGAAGCCTGATGGATTGGGTGTCATGCTGGTTGCAGCCTGGGGTGGGGAATTTCCTGGCTGCCGCTCCCACATGTGGTCAGCAGCTGACCCCGGGTGGACCCCGACAGGCAAGCCCAGGAGGGTTGTGGGTTGGGGTTCCAGGCTGAGGGCTACATGCCTTTTCTGGAGACCACACAGCTCTAGGCCAGGGCAGATGGGTCCTCTAGGATCTACTGAGACCCAAACACAAGGCCCTAGGCACTGTGGTCCCTCTGGGATGGACACCTACTCTCTGAGTAGCCCTTCTGGCTGGTCTAGAGGAACAGGGCCTGGGTCATGGCCACACTCCTGAGAAGGTTCTCACCCAAGAACCCCCATGCTGAGGCTTGGGGGTAGCTCTACTTCTTCCTCTCCCAATGGCCCCTGACCCAGCAGAGGGGTTCCTGCCAGACCTGACTTAGTTCCTTTATCCTGGACCACTATGCCACTCCCCCCAAGCAACCCAACCTGGAGCCCATGACACAAGGCCTAAGTGCGAGACCAGCACCATCCTCCCAGCCCAGGGCAGTCTGACCACCCACAGCATCTCCCCTGCCCTCCAACCCATCCAGCTTAGCCTCAAAGGAACCTGGAGCTTCAGCGTCTACCTCAGATCCCTGCCCCGCCCAGGACACTCTCTCGGCTGCCCTCACTGGCTCAACCCATGTAGGACACATCCAGGCAAACCCGCCCTCCCCAGACCAGTCAGGCTGTACTTTGGGCAGGTGCACCCAGTCTAGGGAAGCCAGGCAGGGACGGATATCCATCTCTGCTCTGCTTTTATTGGGGCCATACCCAAGGGGCTCCCACCTGAGACGGGGAGGATGTGTCTCCCAGGGGCACCTTGTGGGCAGCCCTGCTCACTGCTGGAGGCTGGAGAACATCTGCAGACCAGGGGTTAGCCCCACCGCTCCTCCATCCATTTACTAACTGAGTGTCCCAGCACTGCTCCTGGCCTCCCGCAGCCTCTGCCCCCTGCACTCACCCACGGTGCTGAACACGGTGCAGCAGAAGAACAGCGCGCTGAGGAAGGTCCAGCTGGCCGGGCTGTGGAGCCACTGCGGCTTCAGCTGCTGTAGGTGCTTCCGCACAGCTGCCTGCCTGCCTTTGGCCACTCCAGGAAGAGAGAGACCGCGGTGAGGGAGGAGCTCATTTCCCAGAGGAGGGGGTCCTCCCCAACAACAAGCAGCCCCATCTGCAGTTCTTAAAGCCTGCTTCTGCAATACTTCAGCAGCCTAGGTCTAACACCCCAACTCTAGGGCTACGAGGCAGCCCCAGGCCGCCCTGGCCTGAGGTTGTGATGCAGGTGTGGGGGCAGGGGGGAGGGCATCTTAGCTCTCTGAGCCTCCACTTCTCTCTTCTTTCTAAGGGGAGGGCGTGACAACTTCTTGCCTCTCTCACAGCACTCGTGCAAATGGAAAGTGTGGAGCCCACCGAGGGAAAAGGGCAGCAGGGTTAGGCTGCCTGGGCTGCCTGGGGGACAGCTCTGGCTGATTCCTCCTCCACAGCCCTGGCCCCAGGGCCCACAGAGAAGGCCTGGGCACCTTGGTTTCTGCAAAAGCCTCCCAATGGGTTCTGTTGACCTCAGCATGAGGCAGTCTGCATAGGCTGCCTCTGAAGCCCAGACAGTCAGGGCAAGTTCCCTGGCTCTGCTGTTCTGTGGGCTGGCACAAGTTTCTCTCACTGGCTCAGGTCCTTATCTGAAAGAGGAGGCCAGCACATACCCCGCACACCTCCTGCCTACGGCTGCTATAAGGACTGAGACGCTGTGTGAAAAGGGCCCAGCACAGGCCTCCAGGGAGCTAGAAACAGTGCCTGGGGAATCGGACCCACCCTGGCTTCCCTAACTTTGCTGTGTGTTTGAAAAGACCCGGAAAGCATGGTAGGTCTCAGGAGCCCAGCTCAGCCCTGGACAGCCCAATTATGAGGATCTGGGGAGGAACCCAGGGAACCAGCTCCTTGGAGGGTGCCCATCTTGGGCTGTCAGGTGAGCTCTGGACTTGCAACAACCCAGACCTTTGGATGGTTCAGGGTGACTGTAGTGGCAAGAGGCGTTGCCTAGGCAGATCCTCAGAGCAGACCTACCCAAAGCAAGGGGCAGGTAGCCCCTAAGCAGGTGGCTGAGACCCCAGGGGACCGTCGGTCCAGGATTCTTCCTGGGACTTTTAGAGCCTGTCTTGTCTCTATCTTTTCTGCTCTCTCTCTTGTTCCCATTTGCCCTGGAACATGCCCCTTTGCAAGTTTCCTTTAGGGAAGTTGTCTGAGAGCTTCCGTGTCCCCCTCTTGGGGAGGCAGCATGAACCTAGGGGTTCAGTGCCTTTCCTGCATTCTTTACTGCAACCCTGAGTGGTCCTTAGTCTCCCCATTTCCCAGAGGAGCAAACTGAGGCCCCGCAGGTTGCAGCTGGCCTGGTTCATCCAGCAAAGTGGAGGATGCTGCAGGCAGCTCCCAGCCTCAGCCTCTTTCAAGGCGGCCTCTGCTCTCAACTCCGCGGGGAATAGGGGTTGGGGGAGGCTCCTACCTGTTGTGTTACATTCCAAGATGCCACAGAGCTGCTCCAGGAACGCCTCAAACTCCTGGTTGTCCGGTGCCCCGCGGACCGGGTGGCCCTCGACGACGGAGAACAGCGCAGCTCCCAGCAGAGCGTAGGTCACCAGGCAGCAGAGGAAGCAGACGCTGGGGAACAGCTTTCCTACGGCGTCCGGGCAGCACCTTCTGGCAGGTGCAAGCGTTGGCCCCTCAGCGGCCTCCATCCCTTCCGGAGCGCTGAGGGCGGGACCCGAGCTGAAGTTTGGAGTAGGAGCAGCTGCTGCAAGAGCCGGGAGCTTCCAGGCTAGGCAGGTGAAGGAGGCGGGAGTGCTGGGAGTGGCCGGATCCTGCGGCGCTAGGAGGAGGGCGCAAGCTTCCCGTCGGGAAAGCAGGGCGTTTTGTTCACTGGAGTAGCTCTGCCCCGCTGGCGCCCTGAGTCGCTCTGGATCTCCACAGCTGACCTTGGAGCTGCGTGCCAGGTTCATGTTCCTTCGTTGGGGCTTTTCCACCCCTCAAGTACAGTTTTGGCTTCCAGGTACCAAATCTGATTCGTGGGGGTGTCACCAAGGGCTTCCCTTCCTGGGGGTTGTCTACAGCACTCCTCGGCCTGGCACACCTGGGCTCCCAGCCAGAGCCCTCCAGTTTCCCAAGGGCTTTGATCCCAGGTGGACCTGATACATGGCCCCACTTCTTTACACACCTGTAACTTTTCTGTCCTTGCAGCAGCCTCATGGTGGGCATGGGTGTACCCCGTCCTTGGGTACAGGGTGTATGACCCTTCCCTGAAGGTTGGACCACCTGACCTGCCGTAGCCCTCAGGGTTGACAGGTACAATGCAAGACGGAGGGCTGAGGTGGTGCTGGTGTTTGCCCAGTGCTTGTGTGGCCAGACTGGGACCTTGTCTGCCAGGACAGAAAATCATCCAGGTGGCAAAGGCAGGGACGCACGGCCCCAGGTCCTGCTCCAGGCAGGTCCCAGCAGCACCACCCCCAGTGGCCATCACGGACTCTCTCAGTGCTGGCCTCCACTTGTGAGCTTTGCTCTCAGGGCCGCCGCTGCCCTGTGGCTGAGCACACAGGGGGACAAGAGCCTACCCGGCGCTGCCCCCCCCCCATGGTGGCCACCTGCCACCTGTAGTGAGGGTTCCAGTGCTCCCTTCCTGCCCCCTGCTCCTCTGCAGAGGTTGTGTCAGGTCCCCTGAGGACGTGGGCTCCCCCTTTCCACCCTGCAATGGGGACCCACTGCACAGCTGAGAGAATTCCAGTCTGGGGAAGATCAAGCCAGCCGCAGTGACTGGGACAGATTAGTTCTGAGGGGAGTCACTCAGGTTGCACCCCAGGGTAATGCTGGGAAAAAATGTGTCTCCTCCCTTCCAAAGCCTCTGCCTTCTGAGTGTTCCCTAGAGGCAGGGTTCTCAGAATGGGTTTCTGAGATGGTGTGAATTTCGGAGGCTCGTCATGCCCGGGCATCACTCCCTGGCATCGTGCACCCACGTAGGCCTGGCCATCAGGATCGCACATGTGTGAGTCTGCAAGAAGCTGGCCTCGGACACACTGTGCCGGACACCTGGAAAGGACACACAGCTGTGCACGGAAGTCTCTGCTTGGATCCGCTCTCCCTCGGTGCCCGAATGTACAGCATTGCCATGTTAGGGAGAGCAGCCCAGCCCTCAGAAGGTGAGCCGAGGGGTGGGCACGCGCTGGAGAGAAGGCACACCCATGGGCGCTCTGCAGCTGGGGCCATTTCTGAGAACGCTCCTGGTAGTGAATAATTTATGCCACTTACTGATCATCATCCTTAAGAGGCTGGGTTAAATACACCTAAAAGTTTCCATTGAGTGGAATCCCAACTTTCTGGGAGCATTTCCTGTAGGCAGCATGCCTTGCTGCCCAGCCCAGGACGGGGTGGGTTCCTACAAACATCCACAGTAAAAACACTTCTGCCTTAAGACCGGGAGTCGCTGGGATGAAGGGGAAATATGGCCCAAATGGCCTGGGGAGGATGATGCCTGAGGCACCTGCCTCCCACATCGCAGGGCCTCAGTTAGTCTGAGTCCCACCTTGCTTTCTCTTCCTGCTAACGTTCACCCTGGGAGGCAGCAGGTGATGGTGGGAGAAGGTGGCTCCCACCACCCACCTGAGAGGCCCCGATGGAGTTCCTGGTTCTTGGCTGCAACCTGGCCCAGCCTTGGTTGTTGCAGGTATTTGGAGAGTGAATCATCAGACAGGAGATCTCTGTCTCTCAACTAAGCAAATGGAAATACGACAGAGAAAATGTATATTAACATTTAGAAGAACAACTAACATTAACATTTAGCAAGCCACCCTGGGAATGGTGGCGAAGGGCACTGCTTCCAGTTTTCTGCTTGCCTACTGTAGGTCAACACACAGCCACTGCACCTGCCAGCTGGTGTGGCAGCGTCCCCCAGTGGATTCCATGAGGATAGCCTTGCTCTTCCACCACGAGTGGGTGTGCTCATGTAACTCGCTTGGGTCAAGAGGAGGGTAGCAAATGCGATGCCAGAAAGAGGGTTGGGATGTATTTGCAGGGATTGGTCGGGCTTCCTGGATCTCCATTGTGTCCCAAACCAAACCAACCGACCCGTGATCTGCACGTTATGCCTGGTGAGGAATGCATGTGTCTGGGAGCTGTTGGCCCCAGCCCAGCCCGTCCATGACTTGCAGTGGCTGCTGAAGAATACCCAGGGATTGTCAGCCCCTGGGTCCTGCTGCCTTCTCTCCTAATATGCTTCACTCTGAAGATTCCTTTCTTTGGAAAAGTTGAATATAAAACTACAAAAATACTCAGAAATTCTATTCCTAGATAGACAAGCAAAAGACCTGAACTCAGAGACCAAAGTGTGTAGCTGAGCATGAGTGCTCGCAGCAGCGTTATCTGTGATATTCAAGGGTGGAGACAACCACAATGTGCATCAGCAGATGAATGGATAAACCAAGCAGTGTGGACAAGCAGTGGAATAATATGTAGCCATGAAAAGCAACGGCGCGCTACTATACACTGCCTTACATACGAACATCAGAAAGCCTCATGCTGTGTAAGAGTTAAGACTCCAGGGGATACACATTGTTCGATGTCATGCCCATTAAACATCTAGGATAGACAAGGCTATGGCGGCTGAATGCTAACAGCCAGCAGGCCTGCGGTCTTTCCGGGGGAAGCTGGACATGTTTTGGACCCAGCAAGAGGTGTTGACCTCTGTGGCATGCCCTGAATGATGTTGAGCGCTTGGAAACAGTTGGTGTTGTGTTATGTTAATATCCCTTGACTATAAGGCACGCCCAACCACGGGGGTTTAATTTCTGCTGGTGCCGCCTGGGCTCCCTGCCTGTTCCCCTTGCAATGAATCCTCTTGGGGTGGGCGGAGGGGTGTACTCGACCTCAGGCTCGCATGTCTTGATCTGGTAGCTAATTTGTAAATAAGCTTTAAGTAATCTGGCTGTAAATCCACTTACAGACTGCTTCCCAGTATCGGTGTGGAGGGTTCAGCAGGGCATTACAGGGTGAGTTGCTAGGAGCATCGAGGTCACAGGCCTGGATTCTTCCCCGGATTGGAAAGAGCTTTGGGGACATGATCCCTCATAAACCCAGGGCTACCAGAGCCAAACCTTTAACTGTGGGGAGTCTTCGCCACCACCCTGCACATTTAGACTCGCCACCACAAGAGGGCAGTGGTATCCAGGCGATGGCCTCCCGGCTGCTCTGAGTGGCAAATTCTTGAATTTCTGTCAACTAACAGTGATAGCAAATATTCCTAAGCCACTAAACACACCATCGACCATCAAGAAAAAAAGTCACATGAATTTTTAAGTGAATGTTGGTTCTCCTAAAAGCTCTCTCAGAGGGGCCAGAGCAATGGCTTTGCAAATTAAGCTTCCACAAGTAGCACCAGCAAGCATCCTATGTGGACACAGGTTCGAGTCCTGGCTGCTCTATTTTTTCCTTTATTTTCACACTGAAAATTCTTTTATTAAAGATTTCCTTTTTTTTTTTTTTACAAAAAAGAGTTACAGAGAGAGGGTTAAGGAGGGAGGAAGGGAGAAAGATAAAGAGGAAGAGAGAGAGATCTTCCATCCACTGGTTCACTCTCCAAATGACCACAACAGGTGGAACTCAGCGAGTCTGAAGCCTGGAACCAGGAGCTTCTACAGGGTCTCCTATGTGGGTTCAGAGGCCCAAGGACCTGAGCTGTCTTCCATTGCCTTTCCAGGATATAAGCTGGATCAGAAATGAAGCAGCTGGGACACGGGACATTAACTGTTGCCCATGTGGAATGCCATTGCTGTCAGTGGATTAGCGTGGTATGCCACTCACTAGCCACAAGCACTTCCACTTTTTAACATCATCCAAAATGTATTCTAGTGTCTTCCAAATCAATAGTAAATCAAGGACCACATCACAGTATTAGTTGCTCTATTTCTATCCAGCTCTCTGCTAATGGTCTGGAAAAACAGCAGAGGACAGCTCAAGTCCGTGGGCCCCTGCACCCACGTGGGACACCCAGAAGAAGTTCCTGGCTCCCAGCTTTATGCTAGCTCAGCTTCGGCCATTGTGCCCATCTGGGGAGTGAACTAGCGGACAGATGATTCTCTCGCTCGATCACTGTAACTGCCTTCCCAATACCAATAAATCATTAAAAAAAAAACCTCTCTTGGAAACATCATGTCCAACCACTTTGTTGTACCAATCTAGAAACTGGGCACAGAGAGGGCAGCGACTGGCTCATCTGGCGCCACAGCCTCCCGACCGCCAGAGCTTTGCCTTCAGCTGGAGTCCGGCCTGCGCGAGGGCAGGAGCTTAGCTCATCTCCACCCCCACGCTCCTGCCCCATCTCCGGAGCCAAAAGTGACAGCACAGAATCTACCAAATCTAGTCCGAGACTGGGCTGGGGCGTGCATGCCAAGCCACAGGAGGCTGCTGGGTTATCTGCACCTGTTTCGTGCGTGTGTGCGTGCGCTGCGCTGCGCTTCACCTATCACCGGGCTTGGGTCCTCCAACAAGCCTTCCCAGCGCTAAGAGCTGCCAGTCCGGCGGCCGGACTGACACCAAACTAGCGACAGGTATCCCAGCAGGGCCCAGAGCCGCCCTCCAAGGCACCCTCACCCTCACTCCTACGACACGCGTGCACAGCCGCAGAGCGCTACCCCGCAGACGGCTGACCCCGCCCCACCCCGAAAGGGCGCAGAGAAGTTCCTGCTCCTGCCTGTCGTCCCGTGTCCGAGGAGGCCTGAGTGTGTCGCTCAGTCCTCACTGAACTCCTGCGAGCTGCATCGTTTCTGGCAGCGGCTGGAGAGGGAGCTCCAAGAACATCTAGAATTTGTTTCCTCCCGGCTCAGGGAAGAGGGCGGGGCGAGGCCGCTTCCTGGAGGTGCCAAGGTGGGTCAAACCGCCCAGCGCTTTAATTTCACCTCTCCTACGTGAAAAATATGCCTGGTGGGATATGCCTGCTCTCGTGGAGGGTTCAAAT